GATTATAAAATCCAAAATTCGACGTCTGTTCATTTTGTAGCAGAAAGAGGATAAATAATTTCAGCACTTCATCACAAAATTTCATTCCATGACTGGATTCATAAGCTCCGGTTTCAAGTGCACCACACTGTATTATTCCGACAATCGTCCAAACTTTTCTATTTACCATTGAATAAGATAAGTGTGTATGATTCAGTCAATAGCTCGATATTTGTACCTAGGTATAAGATATATGTGCAAAAAGGATAGACTAAATGTTGAAATTGTACCTATAGACTGCGGAATTTTATTTTATGATGATCAGTAGATTAATCATTTGAAGAATTGATTTTTTCAACGATAATCGTTTGAATCATGAACGATTCGGAATGAAAAAATCAACTACACGATACATTGGATTCGACTTCGATAATTGAGAAATCTTAAGTTTCAAATGATTCATATACTCATCGACTAAACCGTATACATGTAATACTTTAACCCAATGAATAAAGGTGTGTGAATATACGGATTTCTCATTCCATACCTATGTAGGTATCCATTTGAAGTCCAAATAGAATTATTTCATGTGAAAATACCACTCAGTTTCAGACTTAGGAAACTATCTATTTAACCGAATTTTTTTCCTCATCATTTGTCATTTTTTTCTGTTCATATCACATCGAATATAAGCCATCTAACGGCTGAGGAAGTAATCAGAATGTCTCGCAGAAAGTAAGATCAATAATGTGTCCAACAGATTCCAGCAATATTATTATCGATATCGAACGTCTATGAAGGCTTACGTTTTCGTTTCCGAATATGGATTCCAGAATATCATAGTATTGTATTAGATGGTATCAGTGAATTCTACCAGTGATGACACAACTTTGAAACAACTATTCGGGGCCCAACGATAGCGATCGAGGAATACTGACAAATATTGTTCCTAACCCTATCCTATATCCTCAAAATTCCTTGGCCAATTGTCTTATAAAACAGAGGCCATTGGAAAGAAAGAAGAAGAAGAATCCTCAAAATTCCAATTAGCATGGTGGACTGGAAAAACATGCTTCGATCTTCAAGTTGCCATTATCATTATCAATGTGGGCTAGTACTCCTGAATAATGAAGAGAATTTTGGCTATGAACAGGCCATTTTTTATAACAGTTCTTTCTTTATCTTACTATCTTACTAGGACAGCTTCCGTGAAACCTGTCTGACAAACCAATTTGAAAACTTTGATCGTAGGCGATATAAGAACTGATCATGACATAACGTGACGTAAGATATAACCAAAGAAGGTACAAGAGAACGTGAGTCACACCATTGTATGTGCGATTTGAAGGACAGAAGCGAATAATAATTGGAGAATTCTAAGTGGGTTGTGGGTGGCTATTATAGACTATGGGAATCGATAAAGTGTCTCCAAGTATTGATATTGTTTTTCAAGTTATATTTATCTATGTGAAATCAGACCGTTCATGTTACGGTTTCAATTAACAATTTTTCAAAAACATATCTGGCATGCTTTTTGGAGAAAGCAATGTGTAATCACTGAGACACAGCAAGGAGATGTCATCAAGTTTAAGCACAAAGTCGAAGTCAAAAATTGATTCATTGTTTAGGAATAAAATTATCGTAACAGAGCGGAGCGCTTGAAAATAAACAGTCGAAGATGATAATTTGCCTAGCTTAGTGTCAAATACATTAAGGAACTCTAGACAAATTGATATGCAAACATTTGTTCATAAATCAAAGCAACACTGCAAGAAATTGACGAACAAGAAACAAACACATGATAGTGAATTCAAAATATGTGGAAGGTAGGGCATACTTGTTGAAAATCTATTATAGAATAATATTATGCATATTAGAAAAGACTATCTGCTGGAATCACGTCAACGATGTAGTATGCCCTTTTTGATCAGTAATTTTGTTGTAGTTTTTTGAATTCAGGAACTAGTGCAATGCCCTCGATCATATCAGGCAGGTAATTGATTAACTTTAGCCCATCACAATAGAATGAGTTTTCCAGAAGAGTTGATCTCAGTATTGGTATAATATGGGTCCTCATATCATGTTGGTATATTACTTTCTTCAGTTGATTTCTCACGTCATTTCTTGTGGATTATACCAGAAACATGGATCTGCAGGCATCATCGAATCTTGCCTCGTATGAATTCCCCAATGCTGTTTTTTAGATATTATCACTTGATTTTATATTCACTTTGTGCTCTCCAAAATGACAAGCTATATATCTAGATTCTCAAGTGAGACTCAACAAACGCATAATACACACTTCGGGCTGCCTTAGTGCCAATTCATTTGCTATGACTATAAACCGCATGGGATCCACTTGAAATTTCATTTTAATATGTTGAATGTGATCTTTCCACCTCAATCCATAATTTTTTTGTCAATTATTATGTTCAATAACGTCGTTTTAGACTCTCATAATATATGGTTCGTAAAATAGATTCGATTGATTCGAATATTATGAGAAGGTAAGTTTTTTTTTTTATTCTGAAGGGGGCCTTTTTTTGCACACTATTCACTTTGGAAGGATGATGGAATATCTTCAGATAGTTTCTCTGGATATTCAGTCGATTATTTCAAGGTTGCATCATCTGCGAAATGGCTAGAGGTGCCAAGAAATATCACTGATATGTAGCAGGAAAAAAGTCAGTCCCAGTTCTGATCCCTGTGGTACTTCAGCCCTTTTGACATTAACTTGTTTCTTCTAACTATTTGTAACTGCCTTCGAGATACGATCCAAACCATTCGTGGCTCGTACCTCTGCATAGCAATAGAATTCATGCAGCAATTCCATGAAGCAACTCTGAGATAAGTCTGTGATTTCAAGAAACATGAAATATTTGGATTGTAGCACTGATAGACTCGCTGAATCGAATGTGAGGAAACTTATGATGAGTTTTAAGTAAGCCTGTGATTTCATTTGAAGCGTATATTCATCTATCTGTGCTTTCTTTCTGATTGAATAATATCTAACTTTTAAATAGTAATAGTTGATAAGCTGCTGCATATTTTGGTCACCTGGGAAGTTCTTGTTGAAAGACCCTGTACATACGAGCAAATTGCCAGCAGGACACAAACACACTGCCAAACCAGTCGTCTCACATTCAGATTGCGATCGCTATTCGCCATACAACTGAGACAGAGATATAAGTATGTGATTATGGAACATTTGAAATGGAGCAGTAATAGATTCGATGAATCATATAATGGAATTTCATCCCCCATTCTCTCGGAATCTGTTCTGAATAGGTATAATTTATCACAAACATTTTTTCACATTTATGTTTATGAACAGCAGTATTTTCCATTGGATTGAACTTGTCTCAGTAGTAATTTATCGGAGATACGAGAAGTTTATTTCGAAATATCATAACATTACATTGTTGTCTGCATGAAAAACAAAAAAAAAACATTATTTTCACGAAGGAAGGTCACAGGCCACGTAGATACACTTGGTTCGTTCGCCTTGTCATTCCTAATTTCCGTTTTGAATGTCTTTCAGATCGTTCACTGAGGCGTTTCTCCATTCTGGTTCCAGATCTTCCAAGTTCGATGAGTTGTTCTGCCAAGTGTACCAGAAGAGTCAATAGAGGTTTTTTCATTCAGAACATCGTTGTATATGATCCATGAGTCGACGACTGCTGACATCAAAAGTTTATAGGAAACCTTCTCCCACCATATCGCTAATTTTCGATCCAGATCGTAAGTTAACACATACTTTTTGATCTGCTAGGTCCACTCCACTCATGAATTCAGTATAATGATTGCGTCATGACACTCTATTTCAGTTTATCTCCAATTTTGAGGGTTCTCTTGGCCAAACACTTGTGAATGCTCCCAGCAACTGTACACATGTTACTGGTCAAAATGATTACTAAATACCCCGAAACACTGAGAAAATCGAGACGTCGCCCTTACAAAGTAGCGACAAGATGAAGTTATGTGGATGTATTATGGTTGCCTATACCACAGAAGTACTAAAGAATACGGGTATACTGATGAAGCATGAGTTCTGGGGCTTATATGAACCATTAGGTTTATTTAAAACTCAGTGTGACGTATACGTCCACGTAGTAGCGAATGGGTTACATCAGATATTTCTTTCTGTGCCTTCCCTCTGGTTGAAACATATCTGTCATGAAACTTTTGAAATGCAATAGTGATGAGCTGCAGCATATTCTGGTCACCTGGGCCTGGGAAGCTCTCGTTGAAAGGCCCTGTACATACGAACAAATGATCAGAACACAAACAAACTATACCAAAGCAGTCGTCCCACATTCAGATTGCGATCGCTTTTCGCCATACAACTAAGACACAGTAAGTCTGTGATTTCAAGGAACATGAAACTTTTGAAATGCAGCAGTAATAGATTCGCTGATTCTAATGTGAAGAAACATGTGATGAGTTCTGAGTGAGCCTATGATTCCATTTAAAGCATATATATTCATCTATCCGTGCTATCTCATCTGGTCATCTGGGCCTGGGAAGCTCTTGTTGAAAGACCTTGTACATACGAACAAAGAGCAAGGACACAAACTGCTATTCCGGACTCTTTTGGTCATTTAATGATTCACAATATGATTCAACATAAAAATTAATTGATTCCATTCGTTACATAAATAGACAATATGATTCAACATAAAAATTAATTGATTCCATTCGTTACATAAATAGACAAAAATGTGAGGTTCCGGTGAGTCTCTTGGTTGTTAGGGAGCCTTACAAATTCACCTACATTTCAAGTTTCGAATCTAATGTAATGTGACGAATATTGCGAATGTTTTGTAAAATAAAGAGCGCTCTGGCAATATCAATGATGTATTCTCGTGATTCGCATTGTTATATACCTAGAGAGACATGAATGTGACATCTCAGGGATGTTTGTGTTTACTGGGCTGTACCATAGATTGCTTTACATACGAGCAAATCGCCAGGACACAAACAAACTTTACCGAACCAGTCGTCCCACATTCAGATTGCGATCGCTATTCGCCATACATACAACCAAGACGGAGACTTCAGAATGGTGAAGGCACCGTACGAGTGCACTGTGCAGTCACTTCGTCGCGGTTCACAGATATACTTCCGTTCGCACGTGTTCCTTGGTTACTATTTTGTTTGCTGCCGGTGTTTGTTCGAATCCTAGAAGTCGGCCAGGGCTGTGGCGGAACCAATTGTTTTCGATTACTTTTACTTCGAAAGGTAAGCCACAAGTCGCCAGAAAGAGGACATTTTGAAGGTTTTCAATAGAATTTTGGGGTGCAACAAATTCGTGAGAGAATATTTTGGTGGAAGAGGTATGAGAAATAGTACTTCTTCATCTATAATGATTTCACTACTACTACCACTACTCAAGAACAGTTACCTTCCCAGGTTACGTGATATAAAAATAAAAATACCCATCCATTTACAGCGGGTCTCATTTCAAACGGACCCTTCTATATCTCAGCTATCAGTCGAGCGATTCTGGACAGTGCAGTGAGTTTCTATTGAAATATAAAGGATTTTTTGCAGGAAAACAAACTTCACAGTATTGTTTCTCATGCTTTTGAATATCCATGTGCAAAAATTCATCTTATCCCGAATTACCAGGATCGGATTTTCGAAAGTTCGATAGGTAGCTCAGGTAGATACTAAATTAGGATTTTTAATAAATCACAAGATATTCTTTTTGTTCGACTCATCGTTTCCGAGTTAATAATTATTTATATTCGTTATTTTGAAATCCTCTGTAGAAAGTATATACATATATTAATATGAATAAAATGTCACATATACCTAACAACTGAAAACTCGACTGAAAACTATAATGGTGGATTTATAAACTCAACCAAACTGAGAACTTACAATAAAATTAAGAATCCAAGAAGCTGATTTGTTGAATGATTCGAATAGATCAATCAGCTTTCAAAGATTCTCAATTCCATAGAGAACATCACTATGAGTTTAGTTTTGTTGCGTAGAAAAATTCCTAATCCAATTTTACAATAATCAACCCATTTTTATTCGAGAAGAAAAACAGACGACCCTGTCGATGATCATGTTTGTCTTTGAATAATTATTGATCATATCGATTATTATTCATACCAGCCAAAAATAGGTGTTTTTATTCTTATATCAAGTGATACGTGATATATGAAAGCAACCAGTTTCTGCAAGTATACCTACATTTCTAGAAAAAAAAAATTAATGAAACCCTATAACTTCGTCATTCAACGTTCTCCAAAATTCAAAATATACGCGAGTGTATCTTAATCATGTACTAGTATATTATATGACTATCATGCGAAACTCAATGGAGAATCACTGTATGAAAGAAAGATTATATTCCAATTTTAATTTGAAACAAGCACATTACGGGTTAAACAAATCCACCTATGTTTTTTTTTTTCGACAATCCATACCTTCAAGATATCTATACAGGATGTCCCTCCGGGAACTGCATCAATCAATATATAGAAAATCATAAGTGGGCCGAATTTGAAAATTCGGTAGTTCACTATTGTTAATGAGTGCTATCCGGCTAAAATATTCTGAAGATTGGATTCTGATGTGGCACTTCCGGTTGTACCGGACACCCTGTATTTTATTGCATTTTTAGATTCTCACTGGAGAGCTGATTTCATCAATGTACCACACTTGTGGTCTATCAGGAATGATTACAGAGATATAGGGTGTTCAAAATAGAGATTTTTCAATTTTAGGATTTGCATGTGTCGATCTATCCATTATCGATCGAAACGGCTTACATGTCCCTATCTCAACTTACGATTCACTATCTACTGACATTCAATTGGAACAGATACAGGGTGATCGATCATAATTCTGAATCTTGAAGCACCCTGTATTTTTTCCAATTAAATTCCAGTAGATAGTGAATCAAAAGTTAAGTCAGGGATATGTAAGCCGTTTTGATCGATAACGAATGGTTTCGACACAAAAAAATCTTAAAATTGGAAAATCTCGATTTCTAACACCCATATATCTCTGTAATCATTCCTGATAGACCCCAAGTGTGATGCATTAATGAAATCAGCTCTTCAGTAAGAATCTAAACATGCAATAAAATTCAGGGTGTTCTACTGGAAATAACGAAGTTGGGGTCCACTTCCGGAACAACCGGAAGTGCCACAATCTTCAAAATATTTCAGCCGGATAGCACTTATCAACAATAGTGAACTACCGAATTTTCAAATTCGGCCGACCTATGGTTTTCTATATATTGATGCAGTTCTCGGAGGGACACCCTGTATAGTTCTTGTGATTTTCTGTAGAGGTCTTTGCTCTCTCCATGACAATCTTGATTAATTCTTCATGCGAAGTCCTTATAAAACGCAAATTGCAACCGGACTCGCATAATATTATAATAAATCTAACTTTGATAAGCCTAGGGCCGTGTCCTAACAAGACGGAATTTTCTCTATTAAGGTATGCCTATAGTACCTCATCAATTCATGAGAATATGAATAAACAAATATTTTCTCAGCTGAATAATCATGTTTCTGAACGCATATGACATGCCTAATAAATACTGATCAGGATGATATATTAAAAATATTATTCATTGATTATATGTATATGGAACAGTAATCCAAATATTTGTTATCAGTGTTATCTGACAATCTGAAAAATAATTGCAATATCCTCGATAATATGGTGTATGATATTCAAACGACTGCATGAGGCATTCCAAAAATATATGGTACCCATACAGGGTGTCCGGAAATCATGCGCAAAAAATCAAGGGATGGATTCTGCATGAGAAAACATGGAATAAAAAATAAATTGGTATTTATTTTTTTCCACTGGAATCAAGCAAAATATCAAAACATTTCGAGAGACCAAAATGTTGTATTTTTATTTGATCAATATTAAATAGAATATGAAGATATAAAATTTGAAAAAAATGAGTGGCGCACGTTTTATTGACAGTAATATTCGATAGGTTGCCCACCAGGACGCCACTGGATTTCACAATTACAATTAACTGATGGGAAAATCAGCTCCTCATGAACGAGAATATTATTGCTGAATTTCAAGAGGATCTGTGGAAGGGTATTTGATATATTCATAAAAAAACTGTTTTTTTCTTAAGGTTAACACAGTGTATCTTGAAAACTATGCATTTCCGGACCCACGTGTATGACAAATTTTATGCTTTCTCATGCGGAATCACTCCCTTGATTTTTCGCGCATAATTTCCGGACACCCTGTACACGACTTATCAGAATAATATGTAGGAATATCTTGTTTCAGTCAGCCAAGCTGAATGACTTATATTTGTTATCAATACACTTCTGAACTTTTATTAGTTTAGACTTTGAGCTTTCCTTCCTCCTTTAAAAATTCCACTCCACTTTGAGCAAACATGGACTTCTACCAGAGATTTTATTAGTTTGATAGGAGCAGTACGAACATTACATTATTGATAAAGCACTACGAACAAAATTCCGTAAAAATCAGAATTTTGACAAATTTGACATCGATATTCGCTTTGTTTTCAAGATATCTATATACAGGATAGTGAAGTTAAATTTTTTTGTTCGTTTTTTGAAATATATTTCCAAGTAATGGCCTTAATCGAACTATTGGTTTTTTGAGATGCCGAATTCGAACCTGATATCATCATTGCACTTACTCATAGGGGGCGCTACCTACACGTCATTTTATTTTTTTGATAATTCCTAAATTTTTTAAGCGAACTTCTAGCATATTTTCCAGTAAAATCATCAGAATCAATAATGTAACCGACAATAATTTTGCAATTGGGTCTAGACCTCTTCAGTGGGTCAATCAATAACACAGTAAGTAAATATGTATTATACTGTATCGATAGATGTATGATAGCTCGATGTATTGTTCATAAGTGTCAACTTGTTGTGTCAGTTTCTTCCTGTTTTTTGTGTCATTTTCTTTGATTACCCCTGACCTAAGTAAGTAGAAATATTTAGTGAAACGAAATTCATCTTCTCCATACCTATAGACCCTTCAACATTTATATCTATATACATATATACACATGCAATATCAATCCATAGTCCAAGTCTAAACATTATTCTCAGCATTGATGGTATTTTATGTAAAACTATGAAAATACTTCTATCAATTTCATTGATTACATTTTTGTTCGGTTCTATGAATTGAATAATGGTGGTACCATGACTGTATATAAATTTTATGAAATGTTGAGCTTATGGCCAGCATAAAGGCAAATGTTTAATGTATATCTGAGAGTCTGAAACCAACATATCAAACCCAGCCCATTTTGGGCATAACCACTTTACTAAATTATCTCTTGTAGTTTGGACGAGTGAGACTTTGTGTTCACCTACTTTCAGAACTGGGAGTGTCAATATAATGGGATTAATGCAGTAAAACAACATAAAATGTCTTCCTCAATTAGAGTTATTGTATGAGTCACCTCTATGAAATTATTTTCAGGCGCCAGGTTGGAAAATCATGTTTTCAGGACGATTTCGGAGCAACAATTCCTTGACAGTGCCTACTGATTTCGGTGAAATATAAGAACACATATAGGAGACATCTAATTCAGGAAAACATATAATCTTCTGTTGCACCACCTCTCATCATATACCATCTTTGTCACACTCGTATGACTTGATGATTCATCTCACTCACTCATAAATACAAGTTCGGTTAATCGTCAGTCGTCTTCGATCCTTTGATATATCTAAGGATATAATATCAAGGTGCTGTGTAGCCCAAGAGCTCGAAACAGGGTGATACAATTTTTTCCAAAAAAGTGGAGTGGTCGAAAGATCTTCCAGACAAATATAAGGATATAGTTGTTCATATACCTCCTAAGTAGGATTCGTTGAGGAACTACTAGAGTTACTAGACTGAGAGCTCTACATAAAATCATTGAGTATTCACAATTATTATCAAAGATAAAATCATCGGTACTTGGCTGATTCCTACTTCAGAAAGATCCCCTTGTGTAGCAAAGTTGAAATTGTGTTGTCTACCAGCGTGGCTTAAAGCAGGGGTAGACAATCAGATAGGCTAAGGTAACTTACACGGGTAACTTACATGGGTTATGATTATGAAAATAGCCTTAATTTTTTATTAAGACACACGAAGAATGGGCGTAAGATTCTGTAATAAAAAAAATCATCACATATATCGATACAGATTGATTGAATGTCACATTATTTTATTTAGGAAGCCACATGCAAAATGGCAGATCAAAAAACTTTTTCAGTGAACACTCTCCTATATTTGTTTCAATTAAATGTCAGTAGATACTAAATCAGAAGTTCATATAGGGACATGTGAGCCGTTTTGACCAATAATGAATATAGTTTCGCCACATAAAAATCCTGAAGTTGAAAAACTTGATTTTGAACCCCTCATATCTCTGTAATCTTCTCGCTAGACCCCAAGTGTGATACAATATTAGAACTGCAATACAGGGTGTCCGGAAATTATGCGCAAACAATCAAGGGAGTGATTCTACATAATAAAATAAGAAATTTATTTCATATGAACCTAGGTCCGGAAATGCATAGTTTTCAACATACAGTGTGTTGGAACTTTTAAAAAAGATCGGTTTTTTATGAATATCTCAAATGTCTTTCCACCGATTTTCTTGAAATATGGCAATAATATTTTTTGTCATGAGGGGCTGATATACCCATAATTCAATTGGAATCTTGGAATCCAGTGGCGTCCCGATGGGCAACCTACCGAATATTATTGTCAATAAAATGTGCGCCACTGATTTTTTTGAATTCTGTATCTCCATAACCTATTGACCAACTAAAAATACAACATTTTGGTCTCCTGAATTGTTTTGCTATTTTGCTGCTTTTCGGTGAAAAAAAATGAATTCCAATTCATTGTATAAATTTGTGCAAAATATTGCTTCTAAAACAGGGGTGAAATTGAATGTGTGATCAATGTCCATAGACGTAGAATAAAAATGAAGAATAATTATCTTCAAATATTTCATAATACATGTTTGACACACTCTACACTCAGTATATTGAGAACTATGTATTGTCGGTCCATGAAGGCGTATAGTTTTCGATAATACAAAGTGTGTCAAACATGTATTATAAAATATTTGAAGAAAATGAATCTCCATTCTCATTCTACGTCTGTGAACATGGATTACACATTCAATTTCACCCCTTTTTTTGAAGAAATGTTTTGCACAAATTTATACAATGAATTGGTATTTTTTTTTCCACGCAAACGCGGCAAAATAGCAAAACAATTCAAGAGATTAAAATGTTGCATTTTTAGTTAATCATCAGGATATGAAGTTGAAGAATTCAAAAAAATCAGTGGCGCACATTTTATTGACAATAATATTTGGTAGGGTGCCCCAGGGACGCCACTGGATTCCACAATTCCAATTCAAATCATGGTTGAATCAGCCCCTCATGACGAAGAATATCATTGCCAAATTTCAAGGAAATCTGTGGAAGGATATTTGAGATATCCATAAAAAAACGATTTTTTTAAAAAAGTTCAACACACTGTATCTTGAAAACTATGCATTTCCGGACCCAAGTATATATGAAATAAATTTCATGTTTTCACATGCAGAATCACCCCCTTGATTTTTTGCGCATAATTTCCGGACACCCTGTATATTTACAACGAAAGGTATATGATAATAGCTACCAAAAATCAACATTGACCACTGTGTAGAACAGAGAAAAAATTTTCAAGAGTCTTGGAATAAATAAAATAAATTACTTCTGGTTTAGTCAGAATAGTATATTGTTTAACGAGCACGGGATGATAGTGGTTTCCTACGAGAATGAAGAGAATGAAATTAGCATTCCTTGCAAGTTATACACTATAATTTTTCTTGTAGCCATCTGATTTCCTGTCAAGAAATGCTCATCTATTAGACAGAACTGTCATTGCTTGAAATTTGACATCCCATGGGCGATGAGTTTTTTTTTTAATAATAACACAATGGAGTCATTGTGATATCAGATACCTACGGAAATAAAATTGATGACATACAAAGTACCTCATTGATGTATCGAACACAGTAAAACAAAACACGAGCAATCTTGTGTTATAGCCGTAGAGAAATGTATGTTTCCACACATATGCCCAACCCTGTTTGTTCTCAAACAACTGTTCAGCTATCAGACTGTATCGTTTTCAATATGAAAATATGTGTTTTCCGGAAATAATCAGTAGCTAGGTATGCAAATTGTTAACAAAGAGCCTGATAGCATGATCTGGGCCATACTGCCCCAAAGAGCCATTGGGTGAATGACATGTGAATAAACGATGTCACATCTAGACACGGCATATGGATTTGGCACTTAGTAGGTCAGGAAAAATACGCCTAATCGATTATTGATGAAAAAGTAATTTCCCATGATAATGAGGTGTCGATGAAGTGGGTTTTAGGGTTATTAGTGTGCCGGGAAATGATAGATTATTCTCAGGATATTATACGATCCATAACAAATGCTTGTTGAAGTTTTGATCATCTTGAAATTGAAAAAACATCACATTTACCAATATTTGCCATCGAATTTGCCATTTCGGAAGTACAGAACTCGAGACTTCAAATAACACCATGTTAAACTGTGAAAACTCGTATAGGTAAAACATAAACTATCAGATATTTCGATGTGAACGTGTACATTATATAGTATAATCACCAAAGTAGTCGACGGAGTTTCATCTGACTCTCTTATCATAAATGCTGGTGTTCCGCAAGGATCAATTCTAGCACCAACACTATTTTTACTCCATATCAATGATTTGTTGGAAGCAACTTCATGTCTAGTACACAGCTTCGCGGATGATAGTACCCTCCATACCGCCTTCTCTTCCAGGGCTCCAATAGCAGCCAGGCAAATCAGAAACGAACGAGGGAGAAATCTTGACAACATAAAAATGAACTTGGCAACAATTCTCGAATGGGGATCCAATCACTTGGTAGATTTCGATGCAGACAAAACACAAGCATGCCTTTTCTATAGGGAAGCCGATCTCACTGTGCCCAACATAAGCTTGTCAGGAGTAACCATACCTCTGAAGACATCCATTTCGATGCTTGGTATTACTATCAGCAATAACCTTCCTTGGAAAAATCACGTGAGATCAATTGCTCAAAGTGCATCCCAAAAACTCGGTTTTCTGTTTCGAGTCAGGAGCTATTATACTTCAAGTCCGCTGCTTATGATCAATAAGGCACAGATCCGACCTGTCCTGGAATACTGTTTCCATATTTGGAGTGCAGCACCCAAACATATACCCTGAAACTGTTGGATTCTGTCCAAAAAAAGACAATTCGTCTCATGGGTGATACCTCGCTCACAAACTCACTCACTTCTCTGGAACACCGTAGAAAAGTTGTCGATCTGGCTCTATTTTATAGATATTTTCATGGACGATGTTCTTCTGAAATATCAACAATTGTTCCTCCCTTGGCAGTCCCCGCGAGATTAACCCGTCGAGTTGAGGCTTCGCACCCCTTCGTGGTCACTTTGGAGACCTGCAGAACATCTCTTTCCAAAGACTCGTTCATCCAACGAACAGCGAGGCTCTGGAACACATTACCATGGGAGGTGTTCCCGAGGCATAAAACCTCCAGGAATTTAAGAATAACACAATTCCTACCTAATTTCCCTTGGTTTTCACGATGTTCTCTGAACATTACAGGATATCCCTTTTCGTGGGAACCAGAACAAAAAATAAAATAGCGCTGAGAACTAATTTCTAACTGACTCTCGCCATCGGAAAGTTATTCTGTCCTGCCAACAAATCGCAAAATTCTATTCACCATATGGTTGCACCAAAAGTTTGTACAGAGTGTATTAGGATATTCATCAATCTGAATGAAATGAACATGAAATTGGTGAAATAAAATAACATTGTCCCCACGGAAAGTCCTCTGGAACATCAAATCTGGCAAACTTGCTGGCCAATTCATCACCAAAACGAGAAATTGAGAATATTTCCTCTTCACAAATTTCAAATTAGTCACGATTACGAATGACTCCTTTTGTGAGAATAAGAACATCTTTTTCGCCACCTGTTATATGAAGTGTGATTTGGTTTTCAGGATGCGATAGGCTGTGACATCCGACTTCGCTTATTCACCTGTGATTCAAAGACATTCCAAGAAGATGACGTCCAAGCTAGCTCAGATTCAAGTAAGTATATCCATATTTCTTGAGATCACTCACATATCAATAATACCTACACATATACTAATTACATTCATACATTCTGAAAACAAAAAACTCTTTTTCACTTTATAATTTAAGGTTCTGGATTACGATTATCTGCCGCCCTAGCTGTACTCTTTATATTATTCCCTGATAGCCGTATTTCATTATTATGTCATAGTAATGCATTACATTATGATTATCTATTCTTCGACAACTGGCTTCTGTCAACCTAATATGAGTTGAGGCTCCCTACGTCACAACATATCTCGTCAGATACAGAGACGCAATGACAGTTCCTGTCATGTCATCGGCTTGCTTATACTGACCCATGAAGTATAAGAATTTGTACAAAGGCTCCTCTGACCAACAATCAAAATACCCAGTCGAACACAATGTTCATATATCATATATCAATCATATATAAACCAGATCTTCCTGCATCGATATAAATGTTCCCCACAATCTCCTTCATTAGTGAAATGACAGAGTAAAAGAAATAGTGAAAGTTAAAGAATGGAATGCTTTTTTCGCTAACTTAACCTTGTCATCTGTTTGATTTGGTTTGAGTGAATGACTCAGTTCAAAGCCTACTAGTTTCTATAACAAGACATTAATGAGAATCGTCAGCAGACTCCATTATCATATGTTTTGACTAATCAGCCTACTGCGAAATCTTGTTAACCCACAACAAACTTCCAACTCAATTATACAAGGAGAGTTGTGACCTGAGCAAATAAGTGGTACGAGATTCAATTGGCTCAATCAGACATAAATCGAATCTGGAAGTATTTCGACTGTTTTGAATACTGTGATGTTAGAAAAATTCGCATAGCTATCGACTTTTTTATCATTGGTTTTTTCTGCCATTAAACAGCGTCTATTATTTTTTGTAGTTGTGTTTACTTATCTCGTCCAATTTAATATCAAACTCCAGATATTATTCTTTTCAAAGTGTGGTTTCCCTATACAGGGTGTTGCAAATTTCGAGTTCTGAGTTTTCATTCACCTACAGTGAATTTGTGAATTTGTGTTGTAATCGGAATGTTCTATGTGTATTATTTCATGTTATATTTTTTTAGGTGCTCATCTATTTCTTGTCATGTACTAAGTTCTAGAGCAATAATTCAAGGTCTTATTAAGTCAATGTATTACTTTTAAAAACAGTATGATACATCAATGGATTATGGGATCCCATACAAGCTCTCTGTTTTGTGGATCTGATTATGTGAAATAAATAAATGAAAAAAAAATATTCATATCAAAGTCGTCCTATGATCCTATATCCTATAGACGGGAAGGCAAAGAGGATAAATAGGTATTTACTCGAGCGTCGTGGGGATTCATCAGATTTTGAAGATCAGATGTTAAAAGAAGAAAAAAATGGTGAGGAAACCATGTACAGGTTTACGAAAATGCGGAAAAAAAAACCACAAAGAAATACCTGATGGCTTCATATATAATTAGTGTATATAAACCACGTGTTTCTGATGACCGAAAAATATTGATCTGCCGGTTTGCACGGTGGGGGTGGCCGTAAGGGGTAGAGAATAGGTCAAAAAAGTTATTTGAGCGAGTCAATAATCTGGAAGGGATGTTAAGTGAACCCTCAAGTAGGTCATATTCAGTCATGACGAATTTTGAAAGATGAAAAAATGAATTGTGACCTTGACAATTATGTAGAGGAATTTCCTTAATTTGACGGTAGGATTATTTGTAAATGAATGTTTGATATAAACAGGGTGAGTAATGTCTGATGTGCATAGATTTCGGGAGGATGTAATTCAATGTATTGCGGTGCAATAGTAAGGAAAGAAGTTGTTTTTCTCCCGAACTCGACCATTGTTGTTCATTTAGCTTTCTGTATTTATTTGATCGATTTTTTTTTTACTAATCTGATCGGCTGCCCTAGACGTTCGATACCCTATTAACAGGCCAGGTATAGTGAGATTACTTCACAAAGTGCAAGGTTAACTCCCTCATGTTATTCCTTCGTGCTCGAGTAAATACCGAAATCCCCGCTTGGGCTCCCCTACTATTTGTGGAAAATACTTCATTCTACACAAGGTACCTGGAGTTCCTGGAGATGAAACTTGAACATTCGAAAGAGTGCTATGGTTCGCAAAATTTTCTTGTCCAATGATCCAGTGTCTACCTTGTTTGTTGACATTGAGGCCCATATTTGAAGGCACTGAAATAACCATATATCAACCCACATAAAAACCCTCGCAATTGATTGTCGAGATCAAGAAACAATAAATGACTTTTTCTTTATATTTATTTACTCATAAGTTCTTACTGCACTGGTAATAGTAGTTACATGATAGTTACAGTCGGTTTCAGGAGAAATCGCATTAGATCTCTATACAGAGTGATTTTGCTAAAGGATTATGAATATGAATAAGCTGATGTGTATTATCAGTCTCTCCTATCAGAAAGAGCATGTGAAATTTGATAGCAATGCGATTCAATTTGTGACAATTATTAATAATTTAGGCTCGTCGTATCGACTAATCGTCGTATACACCTATTGTTTATTCATCAATGCATTTTGTGAGGTTATGATTTGGGGGTACTAATTTCCTCTCTAACACATGATTGCAATCTCAATAGAGTAGCTAATAGAAATTGCGGCCAATCCAAGATGGCGGATGATGATTTTGGAAAAAAAAATCTAATGATTTTCTTCTGTTCAAATGAAGGCTTGAAATTTCCTTTACTTCTGAAGTCATATGCAATTTCTTAATGTCTTCAGCC